CCAATGGGTGCATTTAGTGCTGTACGGTGCCGCGTCGAGCACTTTGACAACCGCTCCTTTGGCGTCTCGCCCGCCGAGGCTGCGGCGATGGACCCGCAGCAGCGGCTCTTCCTCGAGGTGGGCTACGCGGCGCTGCACGGCGCGGGCGAGCGGCGCGCGAGCCTGCTCGGCGGCGACGCGGGCGTCTTCCTCGGCATCGAGCGGCCCGACTGGGCGCTGCTCGCCTCCCTCAGGCCGGCGGGCGCCGCAACCTCCGCCTACGCGGTCACCGGAGACACCATCTCCATCGCCTGCGGCCGCGTCTCCTTTGCACTTGGGCTGCAGGGGCCTTGCATGAGCGTCGATGCGGCCTGCGCGTCGGGCCTCGTGGCGCTGCACAGTGCGGCGCTGGCGGCGGCTGGCGGCGAGTGCGGCCTGTCGCTCGCCGGCGCGGTCAGCCTCAAGCTGTCCCCGCTGCCCTTCTTTGGCACCGCCGCCGCGGGGATGCTCTCTGTCGACGGGCGGTGCAAGACGTTCGACGCGCGAGCCAACGGGTACGTCCGCTCCGAGGCGGCCGCCGCGCTCGTGCTGCGAGGCGCGGCGGCGAGCCAGGCCGGGCTCGCGATGCGCGGGAGCGCGGTGCGGCAGGACGGGCGCAGCGCGAGCCTGACGGCGCCCAACGGGTCGGCGCAGCGCGCCCTGCTCCTCGCGGCGCTCGGCAAGGCGGCGAGCGAGGCGGCGGCGGTGGGTGGCGTCGAGGCGCACGGCACCGGCACGCCCCTCGGCGACCCCACCGAGGCGGGCTCCCTCGCCGCGGCGCTGGGAGGCGCGGGCGGCGGGGCTCTCTGCCTCGGGACGCACAAGGCGAATGCGGGCCACGCCGAGCCGGTGTCGGGGCTGCTTGGGCTGGCCAAGGCGGCGGCGGCGGCGGGCTGCTCGACGTGGCTGGGCAACGCGCAGCTGCGGTCGCTCAACCCGCTCGTGGGCGAGCGGCTCGGCGCCGCGGCGCGGCCGACGGTGCTGCCGACGCAGGGGCTGGCACGGCGGGCAGGGGGAGGGGAGGGCGTGGTCGGGGTGAGCTCGTTTGGGTACAGCGGCACCATCGCCCACGCCGTGCTCGAGGGGCGGCCCCCCATCAGAAGCGCGAGCGGTGCCGCGCCGGCGCCACTCTGCTACAAGCGACGCCGCTTCGCGTGGCGCGAGGCTGCTCCAAGCGCCGAGGCGGCTGCTGCGAGTGTAGAGGCTGCTGCTAGCTCTCACAGCTACGTCATCAAGTTCGTCCCGCTCATCGCTGCCCCGGCTGCTACACTGCCCACGCTCGTCCTCGGCGCCCGCGCCAGGCCGGTCATCTCATTCCCAACCGCGCCTCTGCCGCTCGAGGCCGCCGCCGCCGCCGTCGCGCTCGCCACCGCCTCCAAGGCCTCGGCGCTGCCGGCGGTCGAGGCGGGCCTCCGCTTCGTGCTCTCGCAGCCCGCCTCGCAGCCTCTCCCTGCGTGGCTGCTCAGCAGCGGCGGATCGCAGCCCTGCAGCCCCGCCGCACGCGTGTGCCCCTCGCACGCCGGCCTGCTCGGCCTCGCCCGCACGGCGAGAGCCGAGGCGCCGGGCAGCAGCCTCTCGCACATCGACGGCTGCGGGCTCTCGGCGGCGGAGCTGGTGGCGGCGGCCTCGGCGCTGCCGCCGACCGAGCCGGAGGCCGTGGCTGGCAATGGCGGGGCGAAGGTGCCGCGGCTGAGCCGCCTCGACGCGCCGCCAGAGGGCTCGAGCGGCGTGGGTGGCCTCCAGCTGCTGACGGGCGGCACAGGCGGCGTCGGCCTGCTCGTCGCCAAGTGGCTCGGCGATCGAGGGGCGGCGGGCTTGGTCCTCGCCTCTCGGGGCGGGCGGGTGGCGCCGGCAGAGAGCGCTCGCCTCGCCTCGCTGGCTGGCTGCGCCGTGCGGGCAGCGGTGTGCGATGCGGCCGAGGAGGCGGACGTGCGGCGCTTGGTTGCTTGGGCGTCTGCTGGCGGCGACGGGGCGCGGCTCGCTGGCGTGTGGCACGCGGCGGGGGTGGAGAATGCCAGCATGCTCCGCTCGCAGACGGCGCAGGCGTTCCGGCGCGTGTACGCTCCCAAGGCGGTCGGCGGCTGGGGCCTGCAGCGAGCGAGCGCCGCCTCACCGCTCGACGCGTGCGTGCTCTTCTCGTCCATCTCCGCCCTCATCGCAGGCGGCCAGGCCAGCTACTCGGCTGCCAACTGCAGCCTCGACGCCACGAGCGCGCTGCGGCGTGCTGGCGGCCTCGCCTCCTCGTCGGTGCAGTGGGGCCCGTGGGGCGAGGTTGGCATGGCAGGAGCGGAGGCTGCTAGTGCTCAACTTAAGGCGAGAGGCTACGGCCTGATCACCATGGCCGAGGCTGCCCCGGCCCTGGCGGCGTCCCTCGGCGCCGCCGGCCCCGCGGTGCAGATGCTGCTCCTCGTCGACTGGCGCCGCTTCTTCGGCGTGCTCCCGGTCGTGCCAACGGCGCTCTCCGCCTTTGCGCCATCGCATTCAGCCGCCGCCGCCGCCGCCGTGATGCCAGCGGTGGAGAGCGAGATGGGCAGGGCGCTCTCGCGGCTGCCTCCCGCGGCGCGCCAGCCGCACGTCGAGGCGGCCGTGCTATCGGTGCTTGAGGACCTCACCGGCGGGGGCGGCCTCACCGCCGACACGCCGCTCATGGAGGCGGGCATCGACTCGCTCGGCGCTACAGAGGCCGTGAGCCGCCTCCGAGAGGCCACGGGCGCCGACCTCGCGCCGACGCTCTTCTTTGACCAGCCGTCGGCCCGCGCCATCGCGGCGCACGTGGTGGGGCGGCTCTCTGGGACAGAGGCTCAAGCGGCCCTCGAGGCTGCATCCTTTGACTCGCTGTTGTCGGCCAGGAGACAGCCCGGTGTCACAGACTTCATGCTAGCAAAGGAGCAGCGAGACTCTCTCGCCTCCCGTGAGGACAAACATATGCTGTGGCAGACGCTGCAAGGGGATCGACGGTTGGAGAAGGTTGCCATGTGGTCATGGCGAAACTCGTCGCCAGGGAGCGGGATCACCCGTGGAGGTGCCGTGGTTCATCTCGGCGACGAGCTCAATGGTAATGTGCATTTGATACACGGTGGCTTCACGGCGGCTTTGCTCGACACTCTCTTCGGGTGGATCGCAATCACCGAGCGAGAAGCACAGGGGCTGCCTTCCAATGCACTGGCCTTCACGGCCAACCTCAACGTCAACTACCGCATGCCGATGACTGATCGAGCAGCCTACTATGTGGAGCTGGAGGCGGAGAGTTTCGAAAAGGGCAAGGAGGTCTACTTGAAGGCGACTATTTTCGACGCTCAAGGGCGCGTCGTAGCCGACGGCACCTCGCTCTTCATCGTGTAGCTGCCAAAGCCCGCAAAGCTGTGATGGTGGGCTCAGGGTGTGATGCCCATACTGAGTGGGAGACTGATTTTGCCGTGCCAGCCGGGGTGGCATGGATGGCACTCGAATTGTTCGGTGGTACCGCGAAATCGTGCCTCTTTTGGTGGTACTTTGTCGAACCTGTGTGCCGTGCGACGGAGTTGTTTTTGTTGAATTCTAAAATCGTGTTAGTACCAGCACGTGCCATGCGCGCCAGTGTCGAGCCCGTCTGCTGCGAGCGGGAGAGAGTTGTACTTTTTTATTTTTTTGTTAATAATACAAACCGATGGTCCCTTGTCGCAGTCACACACACGTACACGCCACACCGCCGTCAGGGGCGGGGAACCCGCAATTTGAGATGCTGAGGCATCTGAAATTGCCCGATACGATTTCCATTCTAATTTCGATTGCCTCGAGCATCCCAAGATGCATGAAGCAATTCAGGATGCGCGCGCATCCTGAATTGCTTCGCGCATCCTGAATTGCTTCATGCATCTTGGGATGCCTGAGGCAACCAAAGATGTCCACGACATCCCTGATTGAGCCATTACATCCTGAGATGCTGGCCGGAGGGCGCTGCATCTCAGGATGGCTGAATTGGCGTCGCCATCCCCGAGATGTGGCAAGCATTTTCAAATGGATATTTTAACCTCAGATAAATAAGACAATCCAGAATGCGCGCGATGTGCGACGAGGCCTAATAGTCCGCAGCGCCCCCAATGGTGCGCCGCATGGAGGGCGAGCTCTCCCTCTCCCTCTCCCTCTCGTCTACGTATCT